GTCCCCCCTTCCACCCTCCATCCAAGAATAATTTGCGGGGACGATGTGTGTCCAGCTGTCCCCGCTGCGCCCAGGCGCCAGGCTCTCGCGGGCCTCGGGGGGCTGAAACCCTCGTACAAGCCACAGCGCACTGGGGGGGCCAGGCCTGTCCACTCTGGTCCCCACAGTTTGCACATCAAGATAATAAGCTTCCCCAATTGCTCCCGGGGAGCAACCGAGGAGGACGGGGCACAGACACTGCAGACAAAGGCACGGTCAGGGCAGGGGGGGCAAATGGGCACCAGCAGCCTTGGGCAGCCAGGGCGCCAAGGGCAGAGCGGCCGTGGGTGGAGGGTCTGGGAAGGCTCAGGAGAGGCCCCCTGAGTGCGGCAGAGAAGTGAGACCAGGACACGCAGAGGCCCCGGGAGCCCTCGGGCGGGTCCCCCGCTGTGGGTTCTGCCTCCTGCTCTGAGGGTGACCAAGTGGCAGGAGACGTCTGAGCAGAGAGGTCAGCTGACGCCTGTTCCCAAAGGCTCCCTCTGGCCGTCGCGCGGGGGACAGACTGCAGGGCCCGCTGCCCATCCCCCGGGTGCCCTGGGAGGTAAGTAGCCCAATTCCCAGCTGCTGGTGGCTTATCCAACAGGGTCAACCTCAGCTGATAAAAAGCGGTGAAGTTTTCCATTCTAAGCGCGCAGACTCGGCCGCTGCCCCCTGCCGGGGTCACCCCACGCCTGCTGCCTCGCGGCCGAAGGTGGCTGCCACCGGGCGAGGCATTGTGTCTACACCGCAGCCTCCGGTAGGTAGGAAGGAAGGGGCGGGGGGTGAAAAGCACAGTCTTTTTCTTTCTTTTTTTTAATATGATTTTATCGATTTCAGAGAAAGGAAGGGAGAGGGAGAGGAAACATTAACGGAGAGAAACATGGATCGGCTGCCTCCTGCACGCCCCCTGCCGGGGATCGAGCCCGAAACCCGGGCCTGGGCCCTGACCCGGAATCGAACTGAGATCCCCTGGATCCTAGGTCGAAGTTCAGCCGCTGAGCCACGCCAGCCGGGCGGGCGGCCGTCTTTTAAACACATGTAGGGCGCCCTTTCGTAACAAAGGAAAGGTTTCTCAGAAGCTCCCCAGCAAACGGGCCCCTAAGCTCCTTCGGGCAGACCTGCCTGAGCTTCAAGGAGGCGGAGTGAGTGTGTGACAGAGGACTAGGGCTGCCACCACCCGGGGTGGGCACAGCGTGGCCCCAGACAAAATCGGGGTCCCCTTCGGTGGAAGGTGGGGGTAAAGACTGTGGGGAGGCCGCCCACAGGCGTGTCACAGAGAGAAACAGAATCCGGAGAGGAGCGTGGACAAGGGACAGCGTGCACAGTGCCCTCTGCAGGGCGACTGGACTGCTCACGTGGCCGCTGTGACAGTGACAGGAAGGAAACTGGACGCTCTGCTTTTGACCTAAGCAGCTGTGGGCCGGTGCCCTCTCCTGGGATGGGGAAAGGGAGGGAAGAGCCTGTTGGTCACAGGATGGAAATTAAGAATGTTGCATTTGAGCCCGGCCGGCGTGGCTCAGCGGTTGAGCGCCGACCTAGGATCCAGGCGATCGGGGTTCGAGTCCCGGTCAGGGCACAGGCCCGGGTTGTGGGCTTGATCCCCCGTCGGGGGCGTGCAGGAGGCAGCCGATCAATGACTCTCTCATCATTGATGTTTCTCTCTCTCCCTCTCCCTTCCTCTCTCTGAAATCAATAAAGATATGTTAAAAAAAAATTTTTTTTGAGAAAAAAAAGAATGTTGTATTTGACACACAAGTGACGTCGGGTAGGCAGCTGGATGTTGTAAGGGATGCTGAGGTGCCACATGCTGTCCCTGTGCCTGGACAGCTCGGGCCACTGCTCAGATCTGGGCTGGGATCCCCCAGCTCCAGCCGTCGGGGTCCAGGGGCAGCCGTCTGGGTCACTGGCTTCCAGAACCAGGCCAGGGCTCTTAGTGAGACCCCAAGGCTGCTGACCTGACCCGACCTCATCTGTTGCTTATTGCTGAGACCTAGGCTGTCACTTTAGTCCCTGGTCAGGGCACCATGTGCCTTGACTTCAGAGACCTTGCCGCAGTGACCCCACCCCAACTACCACTTAGGGGAGGTTAGTCCACCAGCCTAGATCCCAATTAGCCATCACCAGGCTGTGTTTCTGGGACCCCAGTAGCACCGGGCCTCTCGGGCCAGCGTTTTGGAGGGAGGGGACATCTGATTGCTGGGCTGGCTGCTGAAACGCGTGGGGCAGCTCCCAGACACCCAAAGCACCACGTCCCTCTCCCCGAAGCTTCTCAGGCTACTCTCAGAACGTGGTCCTTGTACCCACAAGCAAGGGAAGTGACACGCTCTGCATTGTTTTATTTAGAAATGATTTTTAAAACATTATACAGAAAAGTGCTGAAAAGGGAAAACGAACGTTGAACCTAGAATTTCAGGCCCGTTGAAATAACATTAAAAAGTTAACAAACCTGGCTGGCGTGTCTCAGTGGTTAAGCATGGACCTAGGAGCCAGGAGGGTATGATTCGATTCCGGGTCAGGGCACAGGCCCAAGTTGCGGGCTCGATCCCCAGCAGGGGGCGAGCAGGAGGCAGCCGATCAAGGACTCTCATCATTGACGTTTCCCTCTCTCTCTCTCTCTCCCTCCCTCTCCCTTCCTCTCTCTGAAATCAATAAATAGACAAGAAACAAAGACCATTTTGACAAAACGAGATAATTCATTGCCAGAAAACCTGTGTTAAAAGAAATATTTTTTTTAAATCGTCTTTTAAGCTAAAGAAAAATGACAGGAAATTTGGATCTACAAAAAGGAATGGAGAACAACAGGAAAGTAAACACATGTATAAATATAGAACACCGCCCGGCCGGGCGTGGCTCAGTGGTTGAGTGTCCACCTAGGATCCAGGCGATCGGGGTTCGATTCCCGGCCAGGGCACATGCCTGGGTTGTGGGCTTGATCAATGACTCATCATTGATGTTTCTATCTCTCTCTCTCCCTCTTCTTCCCTCTCTCTGAAATCAATAAAGATATATTTAAAA